TCTGGTCTTTCCCGTCAGAGTGGAAGCAGTTGGCCAACACGTGTCAAAGATCGGACAGCAAAGAAAGGGGTCACAGGGTGAAGAATCTGCCTTGAGACTGGCCCTGTTTGCTTCAACAGGGGGCAGCCCCGTGGAAGCAATAGGCAGAGGGCATATCTGCAATGGCAACTGGGGCCACTTCTTAGGACTTATAAATATTTTCTTTTCTTTGTTTTTAAATANGCAACTGGGGCCACTTCTTAGGACTTATAAATGTTTTCTTTTCTTCGTTTTTAAATATTTTATTTGTTGATTTTAGAGACAGAAAGGAAGAGAGAGAGAGAGAGACAGAAACATCGACATGTTGTTCCACTTACATATGCGCTCATTAGTTGCTTCTTGTATGTGCCCTGACCTAGAGATCGAACCCCCAACCTTGGCGTATTGGGACGATGCTCTAACCAATTGAGATACCCGGCCAGGGCCATGACTTTCTTTTCTATTCTGGATTTCACACTAGAATTCTGTTTCTGCTTGCTTTGTTCCATGAGGTGTCACGGGGCCCAACAACATCTCATCTGCATGGAGCTAGAGCAGTGATTTTCCACCTTTTTCATCTCATGGCACACAAACTAATTACTAAAATTCTGCGGCACACACAAAAATATATTTTTTGCTGATCTGACCAAAAAAAAAAAAAGTATAATTTTGATTCATTCAAAATTCGGACGGCTATTGTTGACTGCTGTCCTTTTTTTTATCTGACAGTCTAAGGGAAAGAGGTCAGTGTCCATGACTCAATAGTCAGGTATTGCATGTTTTAAAAATTCTTGCGGCACCACAGGGTGCCTCTTGCTCAAACCGCCTGAAAATCGTTGAACTAGAGGAAGCGATCCTAAGAATTCTGTCCCTGGAGAAATGCCTGCCTGGGTGGGTCATTTGGGGTGGACCTACTGGAAAGGCAGTTTTCCCCTCCACCTCTGTGTGCTCACACGGGGGCTGAGTGCCTGTGTGTGAGCTGCTGGGTGGAAAGCTGGTACTCAGGGTCCCACCCCCGCCATGAGGGCAGAGCAGAGCTGGCAAGGTGATGATGATAGGCATCTCCGCTGATGGGGTGGCCAGATGTGATCGCTGGCATGTAAAGGACAGCAGTAGCTGCAAAACCGGTCCCCTCCACCTTTCCCGGCGATTCCAGCCCTCTCACCTGACCCGGTTTCTGCTAGTCATCCTCTAGGTAACATAAGTTTTCCTTTTCTTCCAAAAGAGTTTTCCTGATTTTTCCTTCCCTCTCAACTTACCGCAGTGTGGCTTCTGCCCACCCTGCCCTTTCCCCGAAGCTGCCCCCTCTAAGGCCACCTCTCACCCAGTGTGCCAAACTCAATCTTACTTTCTGAAGCTTTCGGCCCCATTCACCACCTTCTCCTTGCCTTCCCCAGATTCCAGGACATGATTCTCCAGGCCTCCTCCTACCTCTCTGGCTGCTGTATCTTTTTCTTCTGGCTCCTTTGCCTCCACCGGGTCTTTAAATGTTACTGTTCCCACAGCTAATGCTACGCCCACGTGGCATCTTTGTAAGAAGAGTAAAAGGTGCACCATACTGACTGGGCACAGCCCTGGGCCAGGGGGTGTGGCTTGGCAAGCAGAGCTTGAACTGGATGGACTTCAGGCCCCATTCAGCCCACTCAGCTTGGCACCCTGGTGCTATCAGCACCCTGTACAACTGCGTGCTGGGCCCAGGGTGCTAATCTCCGCCCTTATCTCTTTTTCGCTTGACTCTCTTTCCCTCTGCAAATATGTTGCTTTCATTGCTCCAAGAGCCTCTGTGTCTAACTACTTAATCTCCAGACATCTTTTAATGGGCCTCCTGGACGTCTCTTCCTGGGTGTCCTGTGAGAACTCCAAACTTGCCAAACTGAATTCATTTCTGCTCCTTCACATACTCCCAAACGTCTTTATTCTTCTGTATTCCCTCTCTTGGTGGATGACACCACCATCCAGCCTCTCATCCAAATGAAAACTTCCAGATTATCGGGGCCTCTTCCCTTTCCACAGTTGAAGGCTTCTGTCATCTCCCAAAGGGACCACTGGAATAGCCTCCTAACTGGTTTCCCTATCTCCAGAATCTCCCCCCCTCCAAATCACCCTCCCACTGCTGTTGGTGTCTCTCATAGAACTGAGCACATTCCCCTGTGTTTAAAAAGTTATTTTGGCTTCTAATTAACCACAGACTAAAGTCCAGGTGCTCGGGCACGGCATATAAAACCCTTCATCTCCTGACCCAAACCTACCTTTCCAGTCCGACGCCTTGCCCCCCGATCTCAACACCTTCTTTGCTCTTAACCACATCAAACTATGATGCAGTTTCTTGAGCATGATTTCTGCATGTACTTTAATTCCTCTGTGCCTTTGCTGGTGTCTTGCAGCCTTTCTTCTGTTGTGTTTTTTTATTTTTTCTTTCCTTGTAAAAGCCCATCCACTCTTTTAAGATTATGCTTACTTGGCATCTCTTTGTTTTTCGGGCACCTCTGGCCCTAATGAACAGCTCTCTCCTTACTGTTTCTACAGCACTGCTGGTGTGCCAGTACAGGGTGTCCAAAGTTATTCTGCATCTTTCTCATTTCACTGTGAGCTTCTTCGAGGCAAGATTAAGCTTTGCGAGTCTCCATATCATCAGCAGCTTGCCCAGTGTCTGGTAGATGGCAGATATTGAATAACATTTTATGAGTTGAATTGGGCAGGATGCTCCAACACCATTTTGTCAAAGGACCAACGATTTCGTTCGGCATCATTTTCAGCCTGTTCCTTTTCTTCAGACCTCAGAAGAGTCCCGGAATAGGGCAGCTAATGGGCTCCGCTGGCGATATTTGCTATGTCACATCCCCCAACGTTAGCTAGGTCTCTCTCTAGGGACATAAAGACTGATTTCTCAAATGACTGATTGGTGTCTGAGTGTGGATTTTTTCCAGCTATTAGAGTTCCTAAGAACCAGTGACGATTTTTCACACTAGGATCTAGATCCTAGGTTCCCCGGAAGACTTTCGCTGTTCTGAGGAGCAGGGCCAGGGGCTTCAATGATGAGGAAGATGTGTCTGTGTTTCTTTTATCACCTGTGCGTCCCATCCCAGCACCTCACTAAGGGTTGAGAGTTCAGAGCTCGAAAAACAATAGAACAGGACTTGGCAATCTCGAAACCTGGGAAACAACTGAGTTATCTTGGGGGGGGGGGCTCATTTGTAGGTTTTGTGGACCGTCTGGCAAAACAGCATAGATGCTTAAAACGACCCCTGTCATTCCCTTTATTTAACCCCACAGTGCTCGCTGGGCTGGGCAGAAGGCGCTCACCAACTCCATGAAGCCCGGAATGGATAGTTTGTTTTTTGAAATGAGCAGATACATATTTGCAGAACCGCGGTAGCAGCTTCTGAGGGTGGGGAAGAGCCTGGTACCAGTCGCCCCTCAAATACAAGAACTGGGCTCTGACTAGAAGCCCGAGCAGCAAGTAGCCACGGACAGTGCGCTGAGGGGCAGCAGAGGCTGTCTCTGCAGGAGGGGCCTGGGGCCCTGGCCGGGCAGCTCGGCTGGGCAGAGCATCCTCCGCAGACGCCAAGGTGGCGGGTTCGATGTCGGGCCAGGGCACGTGCAAGAAGCAACCAACGAATGCACACCTAAGTGGAACAACAAATCCACGTTTCTCTCTCTCTCCTTTCCTCTCTCTCCGTCTCTAAAATCCATAAATAAAATTAAAAAAAAAAAATGCAGTGTTTATGTATCAGATGCTTTGGGTACGTTTTCTGCGGCGAGTCAACCGGCGCTAAGCCCGGTGCTTAGCTTGCGCCCCAGCTCCGCCCTCGGCCCCTCCGGCTCCTGCCGGGGCTCCGCGGAGCCCGCT